GCTATGTTATAATTTGTTTTAGGCTATATAAAAGTCATGAGGTTCTACAAAACACGGTGACTTATTGGATTTTATGTAAGTTTACAACTCTTAGAGGGCAAGTTGGTTCCGAAATCCTGGAACAACATCCAAAGGCATTTGGTCATTGCGTTGAACATGCTAATAATGGCTATGTATTTTGTAGGTCTCAAGTGATGGCACCAAAAAGCGGTTACATGAAAATCTCCGGTGATGAAGATAAAAAAGTCAGTTTTGTATCTTTACTTTTTTTTCGTTGGATGAACGAAGTCCTTAAAAAGGGCAGTCAAAGACCTTTGGACCAAAATGACTTTTTACCCTTGTCAGACGAGAACTCTGGCCGTTTTGTCACCGACAAGCTTCGAAAGAGCTGGGAAAGCGAGAAACATCATTCCAAGATGAATGGGAAAAGGCCCAAGCTTTGGAAAAGCGTGTTTGATGTGCTTTCTGCCAAAGATGTTATCATCATTTTGACGGGGAATATATTGTGTACAACTTCTCGCCTTCTCTTTCCACTGTTTCTCGGATATCTTGTTTCTAAGCTTATGTCAACTGAGGAAGAGAATAATTATCAACTCTACACCTGCGCGTTAGCTATGTGTCTCAATGGTTTGATCGGTGGTCTTGGTGTGCACCAGCAAGACTACAGATGTGAAATATTGGGGATCAAAATAGGAAGCGCCCTTAGGGGACTGGTGTACCACAAGGTAGGCACGATCCTAAAGAGCATTCTATGCATTTTTCGAAGGCTAAACCGATTTTTCTAATACCCTTAACAACCCAAAATAAGCCGAACAAACTTGAACACTAGTATCTATCCGCTAAAGAATGATTTTTTCTAAAAATCTTATCGACTGCAATCGGCTTATGCCATGGAGACATAGAAGGAGAAGGTTCTTAAACATCATCGCTGGTTGCTGCTTCTGCGAGAGCAAGCAATTCTGCTCACCAACAAAAAAATCGAAGAAACAAACAGTTATTTACTCTGCAGTTAAGTAGGCTACAGAAACCATAACGTATACGACCACCCTTCTGAACGAGACTTAAAATGAGTTGTCGCTCTTTTTATACATTTAAAGATAATTTGGTAGAGGTTTGGTTACTCTCGTCTCGAAACGCATTCATGGATATCTTTATGC